GTCGTGTCATTTTCAGTTTCTGATGCAATAACAAGAAATATGCAAAATAGCTGCCTAAACCCCATGTGAGTTGGCTGATAAGGCATTCTGAGTGTACTTTTTACAGTACAGTCACAGTTCTGAAAGTAAATGCACTTCTTATTGATTATTGGATGTTGGTATTTTCAGAGTCGGCAATATCAGCTGAATGAATTTACCAGTGTCACGGGCTAATATTGATCTGTGTTTTCTAGATTTGCTTTGTTTTTAATGTTTAAAAATAGTGTGATGATGAAGAGCTGAAGGACCTTAAGTGGATTTAACTGTTTGTGAAGATATATCTCTGGTACAAAGGAGAAAATAAATAACTAAAAGGCAACAACAAATCCAGAGTAAAACAGTAGGGTTTCTCCAGCATTCACTGCTTTGATCTCAAACAGAAAGGGGAATTACAGGGGTAGATAATGGCTCAGTGTCAGTATTTGCCCAAAGTTTTACATGTCTTGATTCCTTGTTCATTACTATCAAGACATGTAAAACTTTGGGCAAATACTGACACTGAGCCATTCAGTGTCAGTATTTGCCCAAAGTTTTACATGTCTTGATTCCTTGTTCATTACTAATACTTATAAATTAAAGTATTGTGATGTTGGTGCTTTTAGCTCCAGGTAACATTAAAGTGTAGAAAAGAAAGCGGAGCAGGACTCCGACTTGTCTGACTGCAGTTGTCTTGATGAATCAAGCTTAGACTTATACTGTCTAAGCAGCTGTCTTATGCAGCTGATTTTCCAGAAAATGCCAGGTCAGATTTGTCTAAACCAGAGCATTATTTCTGTTTGTGTACACAGTGGACTAAGCTTGGTTTTAATAAAGATACACTGGATCTTTTTGTGCTATTGTCATTGTTGTTACATATAACTTATTCTTTACTTTGCTTTCTTTTTCAGCAACTAGAGATCATCACACCATTTCAGCTCTACTTCAACCCAGATTTAATTCTAAGAAATTATCAGGTGAGTTATCTGACCCTCAGATTAAGACCATACCAAAATGAAAACCCGCTGTTTAAGCAGCCAGTCAGAAGATTGAAAATATATGGGTAAGCAGTAAAACTGAGGGACCTCAACAATGGGCAGTATAAGACAAATAATGATTATTTTGAACTGTGACTCGATCAAAGCTACTCTAGACTAATACTAAAAATAAGGAACCGGAAAGTAACAGATCTGGTTCCATTTAACGAAAAATGTAAAACTGCTGGTGCAAAATATAAACTACAGTAAAATAATTACATAATTAAATAAAAATCAAGATTTCAACATTTCTATGTGAATGTGAACTTGTTGAGCTAAGGATTAAACAAAGCCTGCACTGACATTATTTTAAACTGGACAAATGGATGTAGTAGTTTTACTGTTATCTGCAGCTGAATATTGTTTCTTTCACTTCTAGGTATGGCGACTAATAACCAACTTCCTGTTTTTTGGTCCGGTTGGTTTCAATTTCCTGTTCAATATGATTTTTCTGTATCCTTCTCAGTTCCACAGCTCTTTACACACAAAGTCGCTATGCATGCTTTACTTTCTGTTTCACTGGGAACGCCAGGTGTGGTTTTAGAGATGATATGTTAAAAAGTTATGTAAAAATAGAGTTCTTGTAAAAAAATAAATAAATAAAAAAAATTAAAGCACAAATTGGGATGATGCTGATGATGTGTACATTTTTCTCGCAGCTTTCCTTAACCATGTACTTGCAGGTACAGATACTGTCGAATGCTGGAGGAGGGCTCTTTCAGGGGACGCACGGCTGACTTTGTCTTCATGTTTCTCTTTGGTGGACTTCTGATGACTGTATCCTCTTAGATCGTTCAGAGAACAACTTTATATACGACATATATACATACATACACTCCTTATGTGGTAAGCAACTTTTCGATCTCTCTGCTGCCGTTGATTGATTAATAGTCTGTTAATGTTGGGCAGACACAAACAGTCAGCAGTAATGTTCAGCCATTTGTCCTCAATGAAGTCTCAGATATTTGGCACTTTTGTGAGTCTGGTGTTCCTGGGCCAGGCCTTCACCATCATGCTGGTATACGTGTGGAGTCGACGGAACCCGAATGTTCGCATGAACTTCTTTGGCCTGCTCAACTTTCAGGCACCCTTCCTGCCCTGGGTGCTAATGGGATTCTCGCTTCTGCTGGGCAACTCTATCATCGTGGATCTTTTAGGTGCTTATAATTGACCCATGCTGTCAGTGTTCGCTACTTTGGTGGTATGCTAAGATTTGCAGGTACCTGCTGTGTTTAGTGGTGTACAGCAAGGTTTTGATGGGTTAGAATAAAACTGATTTGTATTTTTCTCTTGAGGTATTGCTGTTGGTCATGTGTACTTCTTCCTGGAGGATGTTTTCCCAAATCAACCAGGTGGTGGAAGGTGGCTCAAGACCCCATCAATTATGTGAGTCACAGAATAATTCTAATATTTGTGGTGTGAGAGAAGTTTTAAGTAGCAGATGGGAATTTCTCTAAACAGACATGTGGCTGCAGTCACCACCATGTGCAGCTGGTCTTTACACACACAGAGGTGTCTGTCATGATTTAACTACTTTTCTAAGATCCAGTTATTGTTCTTTCCTTTGATTTTTCTCTCTTTCCTGAGGCCAGCTGAGGTAGGAGAACAGTGGAAAAAGCATGTCATGCCCTTAGAATCAATAACGAGCTACAAAACACACTTCAAGCACAAATTAATTTGGTTGGCTGAAATCCAATTTTTGTTTCACGAAATGCTTTTGTCATTTAAACATTATGTTGACATATGCTCAAGCTATATTCTTCATTAACAGAAATAAAACTTGGAATTCACAAAGTACTAAACAGTGTCTTTGAAGACTAACTGAAATTGCGCAAGTTGCAAAACGCAGATAAGAGCAGGCCATTTTTTTTTCTATCAAAAATAATGGATTCTTAAAAAATGACATCATCAAAAGGGGCTATGGTAGAAATTCATAATAAATTCATGGGAGGTTCCTATGTGGCTCTTGAAATCAAGGCAAACCCTGAAAAGTCAAGAGGCCTACATACGTAGACAGCAGTCCGTTTCCATATTTTGTTCTGGATAAAGCTGCTGTGTATCTTCAGTTTGATTGACATATTTTTTTATGTTGGACAATCTAACAAAAATCCGTTCTTAGCTGCATCACTAGCACTACTTCTGTGTTTGTAGGAATGACTCATTCTCCTTTTGCCGTGTTTCTCCCACAGAAAGATGCTCTTTGACACTCCAGAAGAAGATGCCAACTATAACCCCCTGCCAGAGGACCGCCCGGGCGGGTTTGCGTGGGGGGAAGGACAGCGCCTTGGTGGTTAAATACACCCTCTATTTCATCCCTGATCATCAGGTCACCTTCAGGGACCTTCTCTCAGAGAGTTGAAGACATGGTCTTTGTTTTTGACGTGTTTGTTTAATTGTGGATGAGGAATGCCAAACAGCCACAAGTGGTTTGGAGATAACGGTGTGTTGTCTGTGTATATGGGCTTTAATCATCTTCACAAACTCTTCTTGATGCCAGATCGTCGCTCTAAGACTATTTGATAGAATACAAGCTTCCGATGGAACTGTGGATGGTGAACCTGAGGGCCTCAGGTGATGTTTGTCTTTGTCACCGGGGAAAAATAAATGAATAAATTATGGCATACAATTATATGAAAGAGGAAAATGACAGCAGTGGAATATTATTGAAATGAATTTATTTACAAAGAGTGCATTTTTTTTATTTCACTTTTTTAAAGAATAAATGTCTGTTGCAAACAATAGTTTGGTTTCATCTCTTTGAAATGTTTTAGTTTTCGCTTGAAACCAAAGATGTTCTTACTAATTCTGAGTGTAAAAATGCAACATGTCAGTTGAAAGACTCTTGTAACTTGTCTTATTGTTAGAGACGGAGATGTAAGGATTTTCACTGTTTTTGATTTCATAGCCCATGAGGTGTGGCGCAAAGTGAGAATAATGGGTTAGCAAGCTATCTTGAGCCTAAAGGCAGACATTTCAATGTCATGTTAGATTTGCTGAATCTGTTATAAGTGTAAAGTGGTTGGTAATGGCATGTCAATGCTAGCCATTTGAAAACGCCTCCAGGCATTTATGCAGTCAGTTATTATTAAGCAATATCTTTTTACAAGAACACTTAGTTTTTATTGCCTTATTGGTAGCAAAACAAAATTTTGACTTTTTGAAAATTCAAATGGCAGATAGTTTTTTTTTTTTTTTTAAATGTTCCAGAAAGACAAATATGTAAATTTTGTTCCTTGTACGCACTTCTGGAATATTGGTGTTTTCTGCACTATTGTCATATTTAATTTGATTGAGATAGCTTTAAACATATCTGTAATACACAATCCATTTTTATAGTAGACTTACTGGAGTAGAAAGAATCTTTCATGTGCCTAAAAAATGGATTTATGAATACTTGGGCTAATCTCGGTTATTTGGCACTCTCTGTGTGTGTATTTTGATCCAATATCTAGAAGACCTATGTGCCGTTTGCATTAGATCAGCAGTCCCCAACCCCCAAGCTGGTACCGGTCCATGAGTTGTTTGGTACCGGACCGTGAGAGTTGAGGCTCGGGTGTGAAATTTATGGTTTTCAAGGTTTTATCAGTTTTTAGCATTTTTTTTTTAAATCATTAACTCGGTTTCCCTGGGTATTTTCCCGTGTGTTATGAATAAATCTTTTTTTGGTACCGGTACTGGTTTTATTTTGTTGTATTTATCCGCGACACCTTAAAGGCCGGTCCGTGAAAATATTATCGGACATAAACCGGTCCGTGGCGCAAAAAAGGTTGGGGACCGCTGCATTAGTTTCATAAGGAATTGTGAGAACTCTACAATAATATGGACATCGCAGATAACCTCTGCAGCTGGCGGAGTTAAATCTAATTTTTAATGTAGAACAGTAGGGGCGGTAATGAGCACTGGAAATTGTTCATCCACTTTGAACGAGGACAGAAAGAGAGTAGCATCCCATGAAGCGTTTAGACTTTTCGGGAAAAATTCTTCCAAATTTGAATGTCCTCATTTAATCCATCTAAATAGGGACTGGTACAGAAATTGCTGTAGTTTTCAATTTTTTGTGGATAATCTTTATGTCGTTTTATACTTGGTGAGCAGACATGCTCCTAATTGGTCTAAGTAAGCAAAACCTATTTGAAGGGACGATATCGGATTTCCCATTTTCAACTCAGACTGCGAACGCACCTCAAGAAAGGCTACTCAAATAATTAGCAGTATAGTGACTGCGTAAAGATGCAATTAGCTCTCAGTAAAACGTTTGGCCAGAAGCCGGTAAAATTTCAGCTCGAACAAGATGGAGACTTTTACATGGTGGGGTCGGAGGTATGTGGCGGTCTGTACACAAACTTCCGGGGCCTAAATCTCTTATGCTTGCTGCAGTTATCCTTTCTGCTGGCTAGATGATGCTAGCATGCTAACGAGCGCCACTGATGCCTCAATAAACAAAGAAGCATGTGAAACGAAGAGCGGGGTGTAGTCAGTCAAACAAGCTGCTACCAAAGCTCTAATTGTGCCGTTCAAAACCAGTAAAAACTAACCTCAGCTTCTGTCGTTTTGTTGTAACTTGGTATTCCCCACTCGTTAACTTGGGTTACTGCAGTTACTTTATTTTAACATAACCCATTTCAACTAAGCTTGAGCCGTCTGCCATTATTATTCTGAACGTTTTGATGTCACTTTTGCACTGCTTGAGTCGACAAACACAGCCCACTTGGTAAAAAAGGTGAATAAAAACGTATAGTTGTCCACTGCACTGTGCGGGCTAGCACTGTTTGGAAGACCTTAAAGGTATTTTTTGCAATCACCCTTTGCAGAGTTCAGCTAAATTTTTCACCACAGCAGCATTTTGGAGGCACCAATCTTAGGATCTTAAAATTTGATTGACAGTTAGCTCAAAACATGGCATCAATACTGAGCTGTGGCACCTTCGAATGTCACATCCTACCTCAGCTGTTTGGAGGTTATGCCATGAGCTGCTATAGCTTCTAGTCCTGGTGTTGTCTTGTTAGGAGTTTCTTCTTGGTAAATTACTGTATGCATGTGCGGGCTAAAGGGTCTGATACTCTCATGTCCACATTTTTGCTTACAAGAAGAGAAGCGGGATTTATTTTCACACCTGGTTGAAAAAAGTGTGTGTGTGTGTGTTTTGTTTTTCGTTTTTAAAGCAGAAGACTAGTTTGGAAATAAGACAGATCAAGATAAAATAAGACAGAGTTTTGGATGGTATTTCAAAGCCAGGACTGTGCCATGCTTACAACTGGTGCAGCTCCTTTTGTTTCTACAAACAGTGATTGAAATGTTTGATAGCTTTCAAATTAGTTGGCATGACAATGAAAAGCAGTCCTAATGTTTATTAACATTTGCAAGGTGGTTTGGAAACATTTGTTTTTCTTAATGAATGATTTGCATCTTTAGTGTGCTAATAGTTAAGACAATATCCATTTTCTTCAGATTATCCAGTTTGTTTGGGCTAAAGTCTATCCCCAACTGATTTAGTTCTGTTTCACATATTTAACAAGGAACTGGAAACATTCCTGAGAGATTTGGGTCCACAGTGTCTTCATAGCGTCACACTGATTGATTGATATCTTGTGACTACCTTTTGAGCAGTGCAAAAGTGACATCAAAACGGTCTTAATAATAATGACAGATGGCTCAAGCTGCGTCACTTAAGCATGTTACACAAATCAGAAAGATATATTTTTCCAGTCTTACTTTATTTTAACATAACCCATTTCAACTAACTGCAGTAACCCAAGTTAATGAGTAGGGAATACGAAGTTACAGCAAAACTGCAGACGCTAAGGTTAGTTTTTACTGGTTTTGAACGGCACAATTAGAGCTTTGGTAGCAGCTTGTTTGACTGAGTGTACACCCCGCTCTTCGTTTCACATGCTTCTTTGTTTATTGAGGCATCGGTGGCGCTCGTTAGCATGCTAGCATCATCTAGCCAGCAGCTCTGGATCTGCATTTAAGAACATGGAAGAACAATTACAGCTAAATCACTATAAACAAAAAATGAAATGGTTCTTTTGATAGAACTGCAGTTATGACAGGTGCTGTTATCTGTTTCTTTGGTTCTTTGTTTTTAACATTTGTTTCACTGTGGATTGGAAAAACACATGCACTTTGCTGTTCAAGGTTGGAAACTATCTGCGGATGTTCAGAGGCTCCCTTTATAAAAGATATCCATCTTTATGGAGGAGGCTGGCCTCTGTGGAGGAGAGAAAGAAAATTGTAGCATCATCACATGGTGAGTGGCTTTTTGTATGTGTGCAGGGTAAGGGGTTACTGTGGATATTAACATGATTTGGACTACTCCCAGGGTTGTATAGAATTTCCTATCCACAAAATCTTCTGCAGACATGAAGGCAGTTTGAGAAAACCCCAGACACTACCACAACAAAAAAATACTCAAGTCCTACTTTCAATCAGTTACTCAAAATGATATGGAGAAATGTAAGCAGTACACTTAGCTGTGCAGAAATAAAAAGTACATTTACCTTCAAAATGGACTTAAGTCCGTTAGATGGCAAAAACTGCAAACATTTCAAGTATTTAAACAATATTATGCCTGAGTTTATTACTGGACTATCAATAACATCATGTATCTTGAGACTTTACCTTTACAGATTGATGTGACTGTCAGTGTTGTTACAGATAACTAAAAGTAAACTTAAAAAAATCCAAAAACATTTCCTGTAACTGAAATAAAATAAATCCTTTTAATATAGTGTACTTACAAAAA